GCGCTGCAGCCCAGCACAGCCACCGGCTCACATCGGCTTATTCCCAGGCGGGGAGAAAACCCATTACGGTCCACGGCACCGAGGAGCTGCCTTTGCGGGCTGCCTGGCCGTAACTGTCCAGGGACAGAAAGCCAGCCTTAGTGGGGTGGACATCGGCCTTCCAGTGAGCATCCAAGTGCTTAAACAGTGCGTCACCAGGGGCCCAGGGAAGCGCCGGTGGCCTAGTGGTAAAAAGCTGCACTGCAATGCCCAAAGGCGGAAGGTTCGAATCCACAAGCCACTTTATGGGAGAAAGATGGGCAGTCTCCTTGTGTCTGATCTGCTGTCTCTGAAAACCCGCTGGAGGGTCAGCTGTGGGTTGGTTCTGACTTGGTGGTGACAACCACCACCACCTGGGAGGCAGTAAGAAAAATTTTCTTTTTTAAAAAAAGAATAATGCAGCCCGAGACCTAAGCCCTCCTCTAGACAGGTCGGTGGCCGAGCCTTCTGCAGTCAGAGCTCTTGTCCTGTGGCTACATATCCACCTGCCTTTCAGGTCTCAGCAAACACCACCCCCCCCCAGTCAGGGAGGGTCCCTGGCCCACGCCCATCTGAACCTGCAGAAACCCATTCTCCCGTCTTCCTGTCTGATTCTGGAACCTCTCAGAACACAGGTATTTATTTTGTCTCCCCTGGACGGTGATGGACAGTGAATCTGGCAGGGATGGGGATTTGTATCCACTGGTGTCCTGTCGGATCCCGCTCACGTGGACACACCAGGAGAGGGTGGGAGCGCCCCAGGGCTTCCGGGGGCTGCCACGTGGGCTCCAAACCCCAGATCCACCCCGGTGCCAACAGGATCCCTTTGTCTACACACATCAGAACGTATCACAACACTGTCGCTCATAACCTGGAGGGTCTGTTTGGTCCTGGCTGCCCCCACATCCAACATGCCCCTCTCTGATATGGGGGTCTCTCCACCCCAAACCTTTTTCTTTTCAAGCTCCCTCCTTCTGACGCCTGGAGGAACTTCCTGACCAGCTCACTGTCTTCTTTCTAATCTGGTGGGTGTGCCACGGCGCCCCGGGCTCCACTGAGGTGGGTTTCCCAACCCCCTGACCCACATCCTGACGATCCTGGCTGCGTTCCCCGCCCCCAGGCACCACACAGTGGCTTGCTCCCCCCACCCCCCAAGCATTGGCCCAGCAGGGGCGGCTGCAGATCCTGGGGCCACTCTGCGGCTAGCAAGCAGGGCTGGCGGGCTCCCCAGGCACTTTCTGTCCTCAGCGGGAAGTAATTGGAAACATTATTTTTTCTATTCGGAATCACTCCGACGTGTAATAGAGTTGACAGCAGCATTTGCATGAAATTTCATGATTAAAGCAAGGGGGCTCTGCAGAAAACTGGCCTGTTGGGAGGCTGGTGGAGCTCAGTGCCCCTTCGTTCCTGGGGGGGGTCCCCTGCTGTCTCCCTCCAGAGCCAGGGAGTTCCCACTGCCTCCACCTGAGTCCCAGCCCGCATCCCCATTTTGTGAAGATTTCTCAGCAGGTCTGCTCTGTGTACAGACTTTTAGGGCTGAAGAGCATCTGACCTTTAACTCATTTAACCCTCAGCTGACAGAGGGTTCCAGAGGGAAGAAGGGGCTGGCTTGGGGTCACCCAGTCAGGGGCAGGGGCCGAGCTGAACTCTGGACGAAGACATCTCATCACAGCATGAAGGGCAGCCCCCGCCCTGAGCCCTGAGTGAGCAGAGGCTCGGCCACCACGTGGCGGGGAACCTACCCTGAGCGCGCCTGGAGTCGGCTGGCTGGAGGTGAGTGAGGTGGGGACCCTACTTGGACACCCCACCCTGCTGCCGTCTTACCTGCGGTGAACCTCCGGGACCATCCTGCTGGGGGCTGTCCAGCTGGGGCCTCCATATGGTTGTGATGGCACAGAGCTGGGGGTGGCCGGGATCCCTGCAGGGAGAGGGAGATAGGGGCGCGGTTCTGGATTCCCCCACCAGCCTGGAGCCTGAGGACACTGTTCATTGTCACTGCTGGCCAGCGGAGCCACTGCCGGCACCCAGCCCGCCCGGAGGGAGCTGAGGCCGCGATCGGAGGACCCAGGAGACTCTTCCGGGGCACAGGTTTGGCCAGTCAGGGGCCTAGAGTCCCCAAGAATGGAGAAGGAGGCAAAGAGCCAGGGAAAGGCAGCCTGGGGCCCAGGTGGATCCAACAAGACCCACGTCCCGGGACCTGAATGAGGGGCCAGCAGGAGGGGGAAGGAGGCGGGGGCTGCAGATGAACACCCCGGCTCCTCGGTGGGTCCCAGAAGGACTGCAAGACTGGCAGGCCGCTTCTCTGAGGCACCAAGGGCCAGAAAGTGGTACCCCTGAATTCCAGGGACAAGAGGGGGCCAGCTTCTCCAGAGGCCGAGGGCAAATGACTGTGAGAACCAAGATGGCGCCAGGTTCCTGAGGGGTGGGGGCTGGATGTGTGCAGGTTGACAGAGGCCCAGACAGATCTTCCAGGAGAGGTGTCACCCCCTGGCCTGGGGAGTCTCTCCCAACACCTCCAGACTCCAGCCTGGGCTCTCATTCACAGAATGAGGTACTCTGAAGCCCCAAACTTGAATGCATTCATGGGGCCCCACTGGCCTTATATAGGGCGAGCTTGGGGAGTTCATGGCTGAGTGTTTGGGGGTCTAGACCGGCCCCTGGTCCCTGGCCCCACCCATTTCTTTCGACATCTGTTCCCCCATCTGCTCTGGGGACGGGGGAATGGTGGTGGAGAAGGCCCAGCACCCTGAGGCCGAGGATGGGAGTGGGGGCTGAATGACACAGTCAGAGACCCAGCCCAGGGACTGGGGGGTGGCCCCCACCATCCTGACCCCACTGGATGGCCGGCCCACACGCCAGCCTGAGGGCTTTGCATTGGGTGGGAAAGAAAGGGTTAAGGGTAGAGGTGGGTGGCAGGGGGGCTCAGGGGGCCAGGGCTGTTTGGCGATAATCCCCCCTCCGTGCCCAGGGTGTGGAGAACACGGTTAGGGCCCCACGTGGGAAAGGGCACCGCTCTGATCCCAGTGGCCAAACATGCAGCCTCTGCTTCTAAGACGAGCTTGTCCATTCCGCCTGTCCTGTGGACCCCCACCCTGTCCCTACCTGCTGTGACCCCCACCCCAGCCCTCCCTCCTGTGGACCCCCACCCCACGCCCTTCATCTGCCTGGCCCCCAGCTCTGGGTCGGACCCCCACCCTGTCCCTTCCTGTCCTCCCCCGAGCCTCCACCCCACCACTTTGGACCCCCATTCAGCCCCTTCTGGCGCTCCCCCGGCACCCCCCACCCCGAGCCTGCCTCCTGTGGACCCCCTTGCCCCCCATCTTGTGGACATCCACCCTACCCTTCCGTCCTGTAGACCCCCACACTCCCCTCCTCCTGTGGACCCCCACCCTGTCCCTACCTGCTGTGACCCCCACCCCAACCCTCCCTCCTGTGGACCCCCTCCCCACGCCCTTCATCTGCCTGGCCCCCAGCTCTGGGTCTTAGGTCCCCCCAGTCCCTGTGGGCCCTGGCTCCCAGTCTTCCTCCGTTTTGCCCCCAGCCCTCCTCTCTTCCCTCTGTCGTGGGCGCGGCCCCATATTCCTTTCCATCTCTTTGTTTCGGTCTCTCTGAGCTTCCATCTGTCTCTGCCCCCCTCTCCCCAGGGCCCCGGCCCCCTCGACACTAGCAGAGAGCTCTGGGGTGTTAAGCTACAGATTAGTTCAGGCAAAATTCTCGATTTTGCTTGCGTTCTTTCCCCTTTGGGTTATGTAAACAGTAATTCTCCCCAGATGGAACTACTTTCCTCGCTTACAAGCAGCCGGGGAGGGGGCTCCACAGGGCCAGGGCTGGGAACATCGGGGTTCCCCTGACAGCTTTGCGGAGCTGGCCAATGCTGCTGAGAGGACCCCACTGTCTCTTCTTCCCTCAGGTGTTGGCTCGGCCACCATGCCCGTGACCTTTGCCCTCATGCTCCTCCTGAGTCAGGCCACCACCTCTGATCCATGCTACGACCCAGGCGGCCGCCCCCGTTTCTGCCTCCCACCAGTAACCCGGCTGGCTGGCATGACGACTGCCTGCCCCCAGGCCTGTGCCCTGTCCCCAGGAGCTGACCTCCGGACCCCCTGCAACGGCAGCCTGGCCTTGGCCCTGGGCAGCCCCTTCCTCCTCACATCTGTCAGCCTGCGGTTCTGTACCCCGGGCCCCCCAGCCCTGGTCCTGTCTGCATCCTGGGCTGAGGGGGGTCCCTGGAGGCCCTTGTGGCGTCGAGCCGCCTGGTCTGGGGCCCTGGGGGGCCCTGATCGGGTGACTTTCCGCATGTCGCCAGGCCCCAAGGCCAGCGTGGTGGCCAGCCACCTCCTCATCCAGCTTGGGGGCCGGGCAGGCCTGGCCGCTGCTGGAGTGCGAGGCCGCTGCCAGTGTCACGGCCACGCTGCCCGCTGTGCCACCCGCGCCCGGCCCCCGCGCTGCCGCTGCCGCCACCACACCACCGGCCCTGGGTGCGAGAGCTGCCGCCCGTCCCACCGCGACTGGCCCTGGCGGCCCGCCACGCCCCGGCACCCCCACCCCTGCCTGCGTGAGTGCTGCCCCTCCCACCCTCCAGGGGTCCCTCCACCTCTCAACCCCAAGGGGCCAGGCCATCTCTTCACCCCCTGGGACCTCTGGCTCCGTATTCTCGGGCCCAGCCACCTCTCCAACCCCTCACGCTTCACCCGCTACCACCTGCCCACCCTGCATTCCCGCAAGGGGCTGGTCCTCCAGGGCCGCTCTCTGCCAGGGCGCGGGATCTGGGCCTTCCCCGCGAGCTACAAAAGGTCACGAGGATGCTTGGTTGCTAACGGAAAGGCTGAAAGGTTAGGGACACTCAGAAGAAAGGCCTGGCAAACTACTTCTGAAAAACCATCTGAAGCCCCATCTAACTGGACCCACACGAGGCAGCCAGTGAGAAGGACCCCTGGAGCCCCATCCTACTGGGCGCACCAGAGGCAGCCAGTCAGAAACACCCCCCAGCTCTGTCCCACTGAGCACACATGAGGCGGCCAGTCAGAAGACCCCCCAGCCCCATCTTACTGAACCCACACAGGCATCCAGTCAGAAGTACCCCCCCCCAGGTCTGTCCTACCAGGCGCAAGGCAGCCTTGTTCCCCCTAGTCCCATGGTTTCCAAGGCTGGAAACCTTTATGGAATCAGACTCCCCACATCTTTCTCCCACAATGAGGCTGGTGCATTCAAACCACCAACCTTGAGGTTAGCAGTCGAGGGCTTACCCACTACACCACCAGGGCTCCTTACCGAAATGCACAGACACATGAGGGCAGGCATGAAGACGGGGACACGGATAGCTCCCCCGGGCCTGTCTGTCCTCCAGCTCTCCAGATGGGGGCCGTGCACCAGTGCAAGGCCCACCCCTCTCCTCATCCCACCTTGGGGCTCCCTGCCAGCCTCCTGACCCCTCCGCCCCTTGGTTCCCACCTGCCCCACCTCACAGCTGGAACCTGTGGCCTGCCTACCCCCCTCCCGCCAGACAGGTCACCCACACAGCACAGGGAGGAGGGTACACTCACGTGGCCAGGCGGTGAGGCAGGGGTCATGCTGGGCCTGGGTGGGTCCAGGGAGCCGGGAAGCTGCCTTTCAGAAGGTCACCACAGCCCCCTAGGCTGCACTGGGCACTGTCCCCTGAGGTCGAATCTGGGGACAAAGTGTGATTGATGGTGAAGGGTTGGGTCATCTCAGTTGTGCAGAGCGGGTGGAGGTGACCACCTGGAGTCAGAAAGAGCCCCCGGGCCAGCTCTGTCCTGGACAATCTGAACTGTCCCACCAAAACTCAGAGATGGGACACTGGCACCCTCCAGGACAGGAACACACCAAGACTGGGGACGGGAGGGGGGCTTAAGTGTCCTAAAGACCCCACCAGACCCAAGGTGACCTGCCAGCCTCAGAAAACTTCAGGAGCTGATAACACCTCAAACTCCATCCCCACAAAGTGCACCCCCAAAGACTGCACGGAGCCTGGACACTACGTGGCAAAGGCCCAGTGGTCAGGGCCAGGGGGCCAGCAATTCTGAGAATCCGTCTCCCCGTCATTCTGAGCCCCTGCCTCCCAGATCCCAGAACAGTCTTGGAAAATGCACACGTGAAAGGCTTCTCACCAAGCTGGGGGAGCACGTGGCGGTGCACGCGTGCGCTGCTGTGCCTCAGTTCCTGAATCTGTACAATGGGGATGAGAGCATAAGCTCACACAGCAGGTGACCTCAGAGTCCTCCGTGGGGGATTCTCTACCTGCGGGAGCCTTGCTCAGTGCTGGGCCTGGGGAGAATGCCTCTTTTTTTTAAATTTTTATTGTTTTGTGTGTGTGTACCATCACATCGGATCTGACTGGTACAGGAGGAGATTGCCCCTCCTTCTCCAGCAGAGCATCTGGTGGATTCAAACCGTGCACCTCTGGGACTGCAGCGCAGCTTCTTGCCACTAGGCCACCAGAGCTCACCAGGAGAATGCTTTTAATCTGCTTTATCTCATTGAACCCTCAGGAGGGTCTGGTGAGCACTGTGGTTTAACACTGCGCTGGTAGCGGGGGAAGGTCGCCAGCAGCTCACGTCACCAGCGGTTTGACCCCACCACAGCCCTCCGGGAGGAGGATGGGGCAGCCTCCGCGGCCCAGTGCGCTGCCCTGCCCTGTCTCGGGGCTGCCTGAGTGGACACTGACCTGAGGGTGGTGTTTGTGGTTGTGGTTGATCCTTCTGAAGCAGATACCCTGATACCCGCTTACAGAAAAGCAAACGACTACAGACACATGAGCAGGGCTCCCACTGGCCGGCCAGGCGCCCTGGACCCTAGTCCCCGACATGTTCCCCTCAGGGCCACTCGGAAGATCCCCAAGGGCCCTCAGACTTATCTAGTCCAGTGCAACCACGTTAAAGATGAAAATTAAAAGGTTCAGGCTCCAAGTTTATCCAGGCAACTACTTTCCCTTTGTTTCCTTTCCTGGGAGAAGGCTGGGGACTGGGGGCGGGGGTGAGGAAGGAAGGTCCACCTGACCCGCCTCTGCCCACTCTCGCTCCCAGCCTGCTCCTGTAACCAGCATGCCCGCCGCTGCCGCTTCAACGCCGAGCTATTCAGGCTGTCAGGGGGCCAGAGCGGGGGCATCTGTGAGCGGTGCCGTCACCACACTGCCGGGAGGCACTGCCACTACTGTCAGCCGGGGTTCTGGAGGGACCCCGCTGAGCCACTCACCAGCCGCAAAGCTTGCCGGGGTAAGTGTGGCCTGGAGCCAGTCTGAGTGGGACAGGAGGGGCACTGGACAATTAGGGCTGAGGGAGGGAGGAGGGGCTGGGGCTGAACCCCTGGGGCTGAGGGGCTGAACACCTAGGCCTGAGGGAGGATCTGGGGGCTGAACCCCTGGGCCTGAGGGAAGAGGGGGTTGGAGGTTGAGAGGGAACTTCTGGATGCAGACGCCCCACACCCCCAGCTCCTCTCCTCGTGTAGCCTGCCAGTGCCACCCTATTGGGGCGACAGGTGGCGCCTGTAACCAGACCAGTGGGCAGTGCTCCTGCAAACTGGGTGTCACCGGCATCAGGTGCAACCGCTGTGGCCCTGGCTATCAGCAGAGCCGCTCCCCCAGGATGCCCTGCCAGCGTGAGTCCTGAGGGGCAAGGGGGGGCCCCGAGAGAGAGAGAGAGAGAGAGAGAGAGAGAGAGAGAGAGAGAGAGAGAGTGTGTGTGTGTGTGTGTGTGTGTGTGTGTGTGTGGGTGGTGGGAGGGAGACATGCTCCAGGGCCTGAAGGCTGAACTCAGGGTACTCAGGAGGGAGGGGTCTGGAATTCTATCTAGAGTTCACAGGGGATAGGGGTGAGGACCAAGAGCCCCCTAAAATACTCCTTGGTTTTTCCCTTCCTCGTTCTCAGGAATTCCCGAGCCAACTAGCACTCTGATCACCACCCCCAGTGCATATGGCTCTGGTAAGATGGGCTGGGGGGGGGGGGCTGGCCTCGGGCACCAAAAGGGGTTCAGCCCGAGTGGGCCCCCAGGATGTGGCTGGAGAATGGCCACTGAGCCCTGTCCCAGTCTTCGCGGGTGCAGCTCCCCTTCCAGAGCGAACGGGGTGGGGGCAGCACCCTGCGGTCCGGGCCTCGGGTGCCCACTGCAGACGGCCTGGCCCTCCGCAGACCCTCAGTGCCGAAACTACTGCAACACCTCAGACACCAGGGTGCACATGAGCCTTCGGAGGTACTGCCAGCAGGACTACGGTGAGCGCTGGGGAGAAGCCGGAGGCTGGACGTGTCCCCTGGAAAAGTCTCTCCAAGCCGCCCCTTCTCTGCTTTGCATCTCATCTTAAAGGGGGAAGGGGTGTTGGATTCTAGAAGGCTCTTCCTGACTTATAGGGGCTGATGGGCCAAGTGGGGAGGGGTGTAGCCTACCTTCCTGGGTCTCCTCACCTTATTTCTCAGGCCGGCAGAGCTGCCTTGTCTCCTTCAGCCTGACATCTGTGAGGGTGGGGGACCCCTGGGAACAGGAGAGAGGGGGGAAAACTGGTTGAACTGGTTGACTGCAATAGGATCTTGTTCTTTCCTGCGAACCTTGTGTGCCCGTCTCAGGGCTTAGTTTTCTGAGCCTCATCATCGTCAGATACTCAATCCTGGCGCACCCCACTAGCGACCCTGGGAACTCTGACCTCAGCTAGCTCCCTCAGACACCCTAGCGCTCCACTTAACCCACACATCTAACAGACTAGCCTCTGTGGGTTCCCTCAGTGGAGGAGAACCCCAGATTCCTCCTCCCTCATCTGACCTCCTGAGGCCTAGAAAGAGGCTTTCGCCCTCCACTCACCCAGGAGCAGAGCCAGCCTCCCCCCATCCATCCGCTCCAATACCACCTGACCTGCCACCGGAATCAACCAGCCAGCCACATTCGTATGACCTTCACCTCTAGGGTTGAGACCTCCCTCCTGCTTCCCCAGATTCACCCTCTCTCCTGGAACCCTGCCTCTGGTAATTCTATCCTTTTCTTCTCCCCAGAACCCCACCTCTGGTAACTCTGCTCTTTCCCCAAATACCACCCCCACCTCTGACCTCACTGTGAGTGATCCATCCATGTCCCCACCAGTTTCATTGTCACCACCCTTAATTCTGGGGTCGGTTGGCTGTCAGGACTCCCCAGTCCTGGGGAGACACACCTACATGCAATATAAAGTCCTCTGTCACCCTCAGGGTCACCCCCTATCTTGAACTTTCAGAAGCCCCATGGTAAGTTTTCCAGTGGCCCTCAAGGCTCCTCTCCACCAAGACTGGGCAGCCTGGGCCTAACACCGCCCTCTCCCTGCAGTGCTCCACGCGCATGTGCTGGCCATCGAGGCGGCCGGCTCAGTGTGGTGGCGGCTGGACGTGCGCATCGTGGCCGTGTACAAGCAACGAGCACGCCCGGTGCCCCGCGGCGGCCAGGACGCCTGGGTGCCTCGCGCCGACCTGGCCTGCGGCTGCCTGCGCCTGCGCCCCGGGACTGGCTACCTGCTGCTGGGCAGCGCGGCCAGCGGCCCGGACCCCGCGCGCCTGGTCCTCGACCGCCACGGCCTCGCGCTGCCCTGGAGGCCGCGCTGGGCCCGGCCGCTGCGGAGGCTGCAGGAGGAAGAGCGCGCGGGAGGCTGCCGCCGTCTGCAGCCATCTACACCCGGCCCCGCGGCGGAGCAGTAGAGCCCCCCACTCACCCCCCAGCCCCCGCCCCGGAAGTGGCCTTGAACGAACAAGAGACCGTGAACTTTACCTCGGACCTCGAAGGCGCGTCCTTAAGAGAACAGCCAATCAGACGCAGCAGATGCCCTGACGTCACGCAGCGTGCGCCAACACCTCTCAGGCATGCGCACGGAGGGCGGCAAACAGCGTGTGGATTCAGCCGCCCTTCGCTTGATCTGTGATTTGAGCAGCTCTTTTTTTAAAATAAAGTCTTGCTCTGTGGAAATTCGTCTCTAAGCTCATGGTCGGTTCTAGTGGGTCTCTAATCGCAAAGGGACAAGCCTTGTGGAAATCTGGGGCATCGAAGGACGGATAATTGCGCTCTGATAAAATGGCCAATCTGATGAATGCGTTGCTATTACGTCACGGGGAGCTAGTCACGCTTTGATTGGCTGAACTTACTGGTTCAGGGTCAGGAAGAGGCTGAACGAATAATAATAATAAGAGACAAGACTAAAGTTCTCAATTTAGAAATCAGTGCTTTCTGATGGGTCTCAGGATAATCTCAGGAACATGAACGTCGATCTGAAGAGGATTCTCATGGAGTTCACCACGTTTTGAATTCTTCCTAGAAGCTTTCCCAAGAGAATAGCCAATTAAAAGCCAGAATGGTGTGATGTATCCCGGTGCTATGCAATATTTTTTGCCCCACTCCCAACAGGCTGGAGAGGCGAGGTTAAACTGACAGGAAACGGCAAATATTATCATGGCCTAACACTTTCTGTGTCATCTTTAATGTCATTCCAAATTTAGGTGAGCATTTCAAATTGGGTCTCCCTGCAACGTACTTTGAGGACACATCAGAGGAGAACTATGTCTAGAGGTTCATTTTTTTTTTTACTAGAAGAGAAAACCTATTCCTTCTCTGAGAGAAAAGTGCTATTATCAGCCAATGGGGTGCAGACTGGGCCATGATGTCATATGGTACTAGGCAGAGAAAATTGTGTCCTTGCCCCTATTAAGCATGAGAAGGGCTGGAAATGTCCTCTAGAGGAGTGACCATTTGACCCCCAAGCTATCAATAAACTTGCATTTGAATTCTCTAGCTGGGTCAGAAATGGGGTCATATATAAGACAGGAATTATGGATTTTTTTAAATTTTTATTTTACTTTATTTGTGTGTATTTTTATTTTACTTTATTTGTGTGTGTGTGTATGCCATCAAATCGGATCTGACTGGTACAGGAGGAGATTGCCCCTCCTTCTCCAGCAGAGCATCGGGTGGATTTGAACCGTGGGCCTCTGGGATTGCAGTGCAGCTGCTTGCCACTCACTAGGCCACCAGAGCTCCTGAATTATGGATTTTTTTGTAAATTTTTTATTATTTTGTGTGTGTGCACTGTCAAACCGGATCTGTCCAGTACGAGAAGAGATTGCTCCTCCTTCTTCAGCAGAGGAATTATGGCTTTTTAAAGGGGTTTCCCACTTTTCAGGTCAGTCCGTCTGCTGTACTGGGGGACTTGCACATCCCTCTGTGTTGCTAGAAGCTGTGCCAGTTAGTTCTAAATGCTGGGAAGACCACCCATGTTAGGCAGGTTTCAGCAGACCTCTTGTCCCTCCCTCCTTCTCCAGCAGAGCATCTGGTGGATTTGAACAGTGTGCCCCTGGGATTGCAGTGCAACTTCTTGACACTAGGCCACCAGAGCTCCCTACTTTCTTTAACTTTTAAAGAATTATTATTTAGGGGAAAATTTTTTAAATCATCTCGGGTTTTCTTGTTTGTTTCCTTTAATTGTGATTTTAACAAAAGTTTACAGAAACGTTGGATTTTCATTCATTTTTGCACATTTTCCTCCCTCCCTCCCTCCCTCATCATGGTTTTTCATTCAGTCATTCACACACACTTTGTGTTATAAGCTTACTTCTAATTTATTAATGTAATGAAGTGATTACAACATCTAATCAACCTCTTACTGTGTGTTGACTTTCCTTTCATGCAATTTATCTATTAATTACTTTTCCCTGTCCTTTCCCTCTTATCCCCTTTAACTCTCCAAGATTGATTCTGTGTATGAAGCTTTCTTGAGCTTTTTATAACGGCAATCTTATATCATAATTGACCTTTTCATCACTCAGAATGTTCTTTAGATTTATCATGTTGCACAGTCTTTCACAAATACTTTATAATGCACAAAGTTCCATTGTGTGAATGTATCATCGTGTCTGTAGGCATTCAGACACTGATGAGCCCTTGGGTTGTTTCCATCTCTTTGCTGTTGTAAATAATGCTGGAATGTACATGGATGTGACCTTATATCAGTTCAGTTTCAACTCTTATTTCTTTGGGACATACACCTGGTAGTGGCATTGCTGGCTCCAGTGATATTTCTGTTCCCAACTTTCTAAGTTGCTTTCCATAGTGATTGCACCACTTTTTTTTTTTTTAAATTTTTTTCGTTTTAATGAAAGTTTACAGAGACTTAGGGTTTCCAGTCATTCACTGTTGCACTTTTCTCTCTGCCAACCCTCTCCCCCAAATTCACTCTTCTCCTTGAAAAGAAAAAGAAAAACTCTTTCATTGTTATGCAATTCCCCCTACCCCCCAAGTCCACTCCACTATGCAGCCTTCATTCTGGACTTCAGTAATGACAAGAATACCCATTCATAGATCCCTTTTAAACAGTTCTCTCCCTCATCTGTTTCAATGCAATATACATCATTCCTCCCCTCCTTTTCTGCCTTCCCTCAATCCTGATGTCTCATTTTACAACAGTGGCCCTATGAAATATTTGTCCTTTTGTGACTGAAACCTACCAGAGCTCACCATCAATGTTTTTGATTTTCTGATAGTTCTTTGTTCAGAAAGAACTCTATACTCTTTATCTTTGCTCTTTTTGTTCTTAAGCCATTTCCATGTGGTATTTCATCTCCTTCCAATCGTTCTTATGTGCAGTCCATTCACAAGTTTAAATTTCTCCCACCACTTCTTCCGTTGTAAGGTCACATCCTTCAACCACAGACAGAAAAGGACCAGCCGCTGATCAGAAAGGCCCTTTTGATTAGATGGGAAACCCCCTCCCTCCTCTTACAGACAGCCAAGAATAATTTACTCCTATCAAGGTCCTTTAACCATCACCACATTTGCAAATTTCTTTTGCCATGAAAGGGGATGTCTTTGTAGGTTCCAGGGTTCCTGGGATGCAGGGATGAGTGTGTGCTCGGCTGTGGGGGCCTTTGTTCTGCCTGTCACCGCTGAGTATGAGTGGGTTCTGGAATTTTCCACCGCAAGGCTGGGCTCAAATCTCACGGCCTCGGAGGACACTCCCTGTTCCCCGAAAACAAGACAGCAGCTTCCGCCTAATGACTCTCCCTTCTACCCCTCTGCGGGTTTCTCTTTCTCCTTGGCACGTGTCACTGCTGGATGTGTGAGATATCGGTCAAGGTCTTTACTCTTTCTCTGTCTTCTCCTCTAGAACATGAGCTCCATGGGAACAGGGATTTTGTGTCGTTCACAGCTGTGTCCTCTGCACCTAGAAAGGCACCTGACATGTAGCAGATGCTGAAAGCACATCTGAACCAATGAGGCTCACTGCAGCCCAATTAGTGATATCTCCTGCCAGCTGTACCAGTATTCACATGGGCTGTTGTTAGGTGACACCAGGTCGTCCCCTACCTTTATGTATCTCAGAAGGAAAGCCCTGCCCAATCCTACATCGTTCTTGCAATCTCGAATGTGCTTAAGGCTGATATTGTAGCCACTCTGTCACCCCATCTCTTCTTTGCTAATAGACCCTCTAGCTTGTGGGTCACAACAAATTGTGGCTAACCTTGAGGAGAACGGGAATGCCAGGACACTTGACTGTGCTCATGCAAAACCTACACTCGGACCAAGAGGCAGTCCTCAGAAAAGAGCAAGGAAACACTGCGTGGTTCAAAATCCGGAAGGGAGTGTGCATCACGGATGTGTCCTGACTCCATCTCTTTTCAGTCTATACGCAGAACACATCATTCAGGAGGCTGGGCTCTATGAGGAGGAATGTGGCATCAGGATTGGAGGAAGGCTCATCAACAATCTGTGATATGCAGATGATAGAACCCTGCTTGTTGAAACTGAGGAGGACCTGAAGCACTTGCTGCAGAAGGTCAAGGGCTGTAGTATTCAATATGGATTGAAGCTCAACTTCAAGAAGACAAAGATTCTCACCACTGGGACAATTGGCAGCACCATGATAGATGGAGAAGAGATTGAGGTTGTTAACAATTTCAGCTTGCTGGGTTCAACAATCAACACACTTTGCACCAGCACTCAAGAAATCAAAAGATGAATTTCACTGGGAAAATCTGTAGTCAGGGACCTCTCCAGAGTGCTGAGAAGCAAAGATGTCAGTCTAAAGACTAAGGTGTGCCTGATTTGAGCCACACACTTCAAAATCACTTGTTATGCATCAGAGAGCTGGACAATGATTAAGGATAACAGAAGAAGAATTGATGCCCTTGAGTTGCAGTGGTGGAGATGAGTTTTGAACATACTGTGGCCCTCCAAGAGAACCAACAGGTCTGTCTCAGAGAGGGCGAAACCAAGTTTCTTCTTGGAGGGTAGAATTTTGAAGCTTCATCTCAGATACTTTGGGCACATGGTCAGAAGGGTCCAGTCCTTGGAGAAGGACATCATGCTTGGAAGGTTGGAGGGACAGAGCAAGAGAGGAAGACCCTGGATGAGATTAATTGACACAGTAACTATGGTGATGGGGGTACGTAGGTCAGAGTCAGAGAAATTGGGTCAGGACAGAGCAGCCTTCAGAGCTGTATACAGGGCCACTGTGAGTCACAGGCAACTCATGGACACATAACAAGTTTACCAAACATGATGTCTTTCCCTAAGGACTGGTCCCTCCTGGTAACATGCCCAAATGATGTGAGATAGAATCTTAGACCTAGGTCACTAAGTCAAAATCAACTCGATGGCAGTGAGTTTGGTTTTGAGTCTTGAGCCCCGTTAAAGAGGGTGTTTAATTATTGAA